CATTTATACTTTGGAAGACCCACTAAGCAAGGCAGGTTGGAAGATGTCATAAGCAAATCAAACAAAATTTGGCCAAGTCCTCTCCCATATGTTAGTGTGTTATTTTCAAGTCTGGCCCACCTTACCTCAACCACCAGTGGCACTGGTGCTAACTGGTTGTCAGTGATCCGTGTTAACACCGTCTCAGTCAGGGTGGATTTGGTGATACTCTCCGTAACTTTCCCTAACTTGGTAGGGGGTGGAGGGAAAGCCATCCCCATAGGGGTATCCTCTGTTGGCAAGTTGACAGTCACATGCACACCAGGAGTGGCTTCCTCCCGTGCCCTTCCCTGGAGGAAGTGCTGTGGGATCATAGCCTGAAAATCATCATTAGTTAGAGGTCTGTTGCTGGCTACCTGGGTGGTACCAGTAGGGAAGCTTTCTGCGCTGTTGCTGGGAGCAGTGGACGTGTTGACTCCTCCACCCATCTGTTGTGGCAGCTTGGTCGCTATGGATGGGGATGCACCAGGGCTCCCTGTGGTGCTGTGATTTGTATCTGGTAAACTTGAGCCTGATATCCGGCCACCTGGCTGAGCACGTCTATACCCTGTGTAGCTTGGCCTGTTAGCCATGTAGGAACCAGCACTGTACAGGCCTGTGTATGGGCGAGGAGCCCCAAACACACGTGGGGATGCTTTAGTGTTGTTATTATTATTATTGTTCCCTTGACCTGCAGGAACAAGAGTCTCACGGTGCACAACCAAACGAACAAATCTTTCAAGGCCAGTTAACATTGAAACTGCCTGATCATGACGAGCTCCATCCAGATCAACACCGTTAATCTGAAAAGACAGAAGATTATGAGGACATTGACACACTACAAAAGAAATGATGCACAGAATGCAAAATGTCCATTTGAAAAAAAATATTTTTTGTTGTTCTATGCGTCAACCATATAGGCTATCCTCCAATATCAGGTAAACTCTTCTCTTTCAGCATCAGAAAATACTTCCCAGTATAAAGGTAAACAAAATCTCAAGATCTATATACATAATATCAAATATACTTACAGATATAACTCTATCCCCAACCAATAACTTTCCATCTTTGGCTGCAGCTCCACCCTCTGTTATTCTGGATATATATATAGCCTGTAAACAAAAACACTGATTGGTTCCTTTATCCTTATGATATCTGTTAACCCCTAGCCAACAGGTGGCATGTACGTACATGCCATGGCTGTTGTGGACCGAAAGACGGATGGCATCGTGTCATGCCCATTCCCGCGCCACCGGCTCATCGGACGGAGTTTATTTTTCTCCGATAGTAGTAGGATCATTTACATGGTAAAGATTTTAGGCAATGGCACCTATAATAAAGGTAAACCTTCAAAATATTAATATTTTTATAAATCATAGCAAAATAAAAGCTTTTAGGTGCTAAATGTCGCTTGGAAACTACCAATCGAGCCGGGCGCAAACAGGGGAAACTGCCGATGCACGCCCATCTATACGTCCACTTGCCAAACTTTTTTACCCGTCGGCACTGGGTTAATATATTCATCATAAATATTGCACTTTTCTTTCCTTGGTTCCTCTATCCTTATGATATCTGTTTATATATTCATCATAAATATTGCACTTTTCTTTCCTATCTCAAAGCCAAATCATTATCTACAAAAAGTAAAAAAAGGAAAATATCACACTCAAATCTAAAACTTTAAAAAATCCTAGGAATAGAAAAATAATTTCTTTTCCATTTATTTTTGGGTGTTCTTGAATCACAAGAATTATCAGAGAATCAAGTCTATATAAATCTGAACTGATCTAATATAATGACTTTTTATTTTATAATTTTTCATAACACAGAAGACAGATTCATGGACAGACAGATGCTATGTATGCTATATAATGCATATGTATCATACTATGCATACAAATGTATGTGTGCATATATGCAGCATATGCATGTATGCATATGTATCACATATGCATGTGTATGTATATAAGCATGCTAATGGAATAAGTGAGAAGGGCAAATAAGTCATAAATCATCAATAAAACTACCCCGTATTGCAGTCTGACATATGATCCCTTGTGTGCAATATTAGGTGTCTGTGTCGGAGTTTAGATGTCAAGAGTCCAGTAAGGTATTTACATTAAAGTCTTGAAACAAAGTTTTAGGGGAATGATCAATAAATAATGAAGTGAGTAAATGGTCCCTGAACTGAGCAGCTCCTCGTCCCCCGGCTATACTGAAGCCCAGGCCATTGTGGTCCCTCATGAGTGTGGTGTAAATGGTCTCCGTAAGGATCTGCGTTGGGGAGTTGACGTTGTCATAGTGCTGATGGGAAGGGTTAGATAGTCATGCAGTCTTTATAAAACAAAAAAGTACAAAAAAGGGGAATGGGAGTGAAATTATGATTTAGACCCATATTACAGGCATATTAAAAGTGAAATAGTAATTCTGTCCAGTATTTCATGCAAACTTAGTGAGATAGTGATTTAATTCAGTATCTTGT